GCTTGCGTAGCAGCGTTCCTCCGTTGGTGTTGTTCGGGGTTAGGTTGTTCTGCCCTTTCAGTTTCAGCTGTAGGGGCCCGGCCGGGTCATTCATCAGTCATCACGTCTCGCTGTGAGAACTCCATTTCAACTGCTTGCTCACTCAAGTTCTATCATTATATATACCTCTCCATCACTCTTCCACATATATATAGGTGTCCAAACTCTAAGGTCCGAACATTCTTCCGTAATCTAAAAAAAGCATACAGAGATATTTGGAATAGTATGTGCAGTATGTTTTTGTCAGCACGAAAGTACGTCAGGTCGGTGTTGGTAGAAATAACGATCAGGCCAGGCTAGACACAAACGCAAACGTAAAAAATGTGGCCCTCTCTGTTTCTAAATGCCCGGCCTTTTGTTCGTTTTATTGCAACCGCACGTCCAAAAGCCGGCAGATACAGACGATCTTTATGTAGAGGTTTGTAGTTTTCTAAAGTTGCTTAACTGTTGTTGGTCATGACGCAGCTCGCATTTGGGAGCTTTTTATTGGATAAACGAACCTGATTGCTATTCTTTTTTCCTCCTTTTATGCTTCTAGCGAGCGGCTAAACAGTCAAGAGATAGCTTCGAGGATCATGTTTTTTTTTTGGTGCTGCATGCATGTGATCGAATCTTTTTTTTTAATCACATGTGATCGAATCTTCGAAGAAGGGCAGTGGCGAAGCTAGAATAAATTAGAGGATGGTGCACTTGTCTTGTGGGTGTATAAACTTGTACCATAGAAGGTACATGTATAGTAAAATTTTAAGAAAAAAGCTATTGTTTTCATAAAATTTGGGTAGTGCATTTCCACCCCTAGCATCTACCTAGCTTCGCCCCTGAAGAAGGGTATCATTAGATTACGATAGAATATTTGGTATAAACCACACATTCATAGCGTGTCTATATAGATATGCATTGCCGTCAAGATTGAGATGCAAAATCGTGTTCTAAATATTCATACCAAAAATGATAAATTTTATGTGCATAGATACTAAAAGAGAAATTACAAGAATTTGCCGTGCACCTGAATTTGCAATTTCCATATGACTTTTTCTAGACTAGTCAGTTTGCTTATCAACTTAGATTATTTGTAATCAGTATTCTAAAAACTTGCCGTTCTAGATTTCTGTTTGCAATTAGACTGTTTTCTTTGTCTATAGATATACCATTAACATTGCGCGTGGACTTCTTAAAGAGAGAATGCAGAATACAAAATTGATGATAATATCGGTATAGTAGTATTTTAATGTTGAACATGAAGCGCGTTTTCTGAAAAAAAAGAAATTGTGCAACCAGATAAAATGGTACTGTATTTGTTTTTGAAGTCCTAGAAATATTTTTGAAATAAAATCATCCAAAGACAATGGCTGCGATTCACCCTTGCTTATAAAATGTTGTTTGTGTTGTTGGCTTGTTGCCTCTGTGGCATGCGTTGGCGTTGTCATGTCGTTTGTTTTTCTTTCTTTATATAAATTTTAGGTTGCGTGCATCCTAACCGTCTAGAGAACCCGCCGGAAGCAATCGCAGCGCGTTCGGTCTTAGGAACAATTTCAGCTTATCAAGATTATACAAATTGATGAACCATTTTAAATAGGAACCATTTCAGGGACTCAATCTAAAGGAACCGAACGGGCCCTTAATTGTATTAACTTGACACAATTGTTTTAAAAATAAAATAAGAATATCTTGTGGAAAAATCTGGCGAAATCTAGGTGCAGACTAAAATAACAGAGATTGGACAAAGCGCTAGAGATAGGTAAAGTGTTCAAGGATTATCTCTAGCTTATCTATTGTCTAATCACTCAAATCTCTCGATATGTGTCTTAAATGTTGGGGATATTAATGGCATAACTTTAGTATTTGATAAGATGCATGCTAAATCATGCATGATAATGTTTGCCTTTGGTACACCGTGGAATGTGTTGTCTGTTTATTTTAAAAAGTGCATGTAAGGATTCACCAAAAGTAATTATATATTGCAGTTTAGAGAAACCGTGATGCAACCTTTTGATTGCTCTTCGTACCATGCACATTGCAAACGTACTACTCTTGTTACCTTTTTTTTTTGACTTGGTGCATATATCAATGATTCCACTTAATTCGATGTCCAAATTATATAAATTTATCCTAGATTAGCAAGGTATCCCATCGCCAATCACATTGACAAAGAGAGCTACCACTAACTTCCTTATCTCATATTGCAATAGTTTACATCCGTGTGGTTTGCTCCAAATTGCTAGTGGATTAACATCCTGCCAGCACTAATATAGGACGATTAGTAGTGTCTGGTAGATAGTGTTTTTTTTTTCTTTTCCTTGCGAAAAATTGCACAGTTTACTTCTGATTTTTCTGGGTGTATTTTGTTTGCCTGAAACACAGTTGACAGTGAGAGTATGTTTTTTTTTGCCTTCTTGGTATAACAAAAAAAAAAACATGACAGGAAACTCTCGAGATGCATGGTTTGCCCTTTCTTTGTTTCTTTCTTCTTCTCCATCTTCTTGTTTCAGTCCTGAATGGATTCGTGCACTTAATTTTAGATATAGTCCCTCCAGTTCAATATGCATGTTGTTGAGGACATCAACATGATCTGTCTCATTCACACACAAAAAAATTGAAAAAATGAACTTTGAAGTAAGATATATAATAAAATATTATGAACATATTATTTTTCATGGTCAATGTAGCAAATAGCAATACCAAAAACCTACATAGTCAGTATCTGTTCGATGTTTAAAAAGTTTGACAGACAAGGTTCTAAAACGGCATGTATTTTGAATAAGAGGAAGTAGCTAGTAGCTCCATTGTGATTATAACTCCTCTAAGGCTCTAACGCAGATAATAGACTAACAAAATTTCATGGGAACACTGTTTGGAAAATCCAAAAATACCATGTGAATGGAGGAAAGGATATGATGGTCCTGTTTTCACCTTTCTCCTTGGAACGAGTGACCAATTGAAGAGCTCCACTTCCAGTGGGGGAAACCAAGATGACTTCCTCTCTTTTCGTTGTTCACACCTTGAATAACATGACGTGCCAAAAGGAGAAAAGAAAAAAGGGGAACAAATGTACTAAAGCACTACTAGCAGAACTTGCGAGGAAATGACACCTTGAAAAACTCAGTGCCCTAGTATTAGTTACTCCCTCTAGATTTTTCTTCTCAGGGCATTCGCAACGGGCTATTCGCGTGCTTAGGGCACCCGCAACATATTTCTTAGCATTAGCACAACATACTACATTTCTTAGTATTAGGACAACATAACAGATTTCTTAGTAACATATAATCAGAAAATAAGTTGCTACTAAATAAATTGCTACTAGATATTCTTGCTACTACATAAACTAATCTTGCTACTAGGGCACCACGAAACTAATCTTTTTTCGAAAAACACGTCTGTTGATGAGGCTTTCATTAAGAGGAAGTTTTAATCGTTTACAACGGATACCGCACCTTCAACGCATCTCAAGAAAATATTCTTTCCCACATATAATCAGAACAACTAATTCGTCCCCTGCAGAATCAATTATACACTGTAACCACGTAGGAACAAGCTAAGATAGACCAAATAAACACGCCATTAGACTGATGATCTGAAATGCTCATGTCATGAATATTCATAGCGAGTTTTCCGGCCTGTTCGCTGGTTGGTTTCTGGGCTGATAAGTCTGGCTGATCCTGGTTTGTTGTGAGAGGAAAACACTGTTGGCTGACTGATAAGCCCTAACCGAAGCCTAATCCTACCATCCTGCCCACCTGGTAAAGAATGTCGCCACAAATCCTTGCCTGCCTAGTGCCTACTGTTGCCGTTGCCCCGTGTTGCCGTCGTCGATCCGAATCTCTATCCGGTCGGCCGTCGTTGGATTTGTACTGTGGGTCTGTGGCTACGCGCCGCCGCCGGCGGCTACCAGATCCTCATCTAGCGCCGTTGCAAGCAGAGCAACGACCGGGGAGTTGTAGCCAGTAGCGTAGGCCGTTGGATATGGTCATATGGATAAATAAATGGATATACTGCTTTCCTTCTGCATTTCCACACTTGGAAGGAGAAACTCATTACCTGTACCTCCAGTCCAATTCTGGATTCACTTTGGGTAAATGCTCACCATTTCCCGTAACGGGAGAACAGGGGCTCGAGGACAGAGCAGAGGTCGTCACTTCGGCCGATGCTGCCGTCGCCGGCCATCGCGTACGCCGGGCGAAGCCGTACGTTAGTACGTACGTATCAATATGGGTTCGTGACACGCCAAAACGTAACAAGACTCGAGCAAGCCTAACGGTGTATGTCGGCTAGTAGTAACTAACAACTACCACTACCTGTAACAAGCACGTACGGCAGTGACGCCGCGGCGGGCAACCGTGAAGCGCGTCACTTGCATCTGCAGGCACGCAACGTAACGGCAGACAGCTACCAACGCGACAGGGTTCCGCGGTCGACTGCTGGGTGCTGGCTGCAAAGCGCTAGTGACACTGTGAGATCCGCCGCTCCACACGGACCGCACCGCGCACCGCGCACCGCGAGAGCTCAGAACCGCGTGCCGTTCGTCACGTTGCGCTTCCGGATCCGGCCTTGGCTTCCGCTGCATGCGGAGGCGACGCTCGCTGGCTGGATTCGCGTACGCGGCGGCGGCGGCGGCCTGGAAAAAGTGGACGGGTTCGTTGGTGCCGTGATAACTGACCGCCAGAGACGAGCGCGCGCCCGGCCGGGTCTCTCCTTCAATTCTCCCATGCACGCCTGACTGACACTGACACCCGCCTCGCCTTTCACTGTGGCAGCTGATCGTCTCCTGATAAGCAAGCGCCGCACGGCACGGCACGGCACACGCGACGGCCGACGGGAGGTGTATAAGTACGGGTGCGTCTCCCGCTGCTGCCTGCCGCGACATCTCCCTCTCCCTCTCGCTCTCGCTCTCTCCCAGGTGCTGTGAGCGCTGAGAGCTCACTCAAGGAGCGTCTAGCTAGCTCACTACCTGGTTGGAGCAGAGCATGGAGGACAACGGTGCCGCCACCGCCGCTCCTGCGACGAGCATGCTGCCTGCCGAGAAGCAAGTGGCGATCCCTGACGCCGCTGCGGCGGCAGCTACGAACGGTAGCGCCGGTGAGGAGAACAAGGTGGAGGGGGATGCGCCGGCGCCGGCATTATTGCCCTGCGGGCCCAGGAAGACGGGGCTCCATCTTTTCGTCATGAACATCAGGTGCGTGCGTTTGCTTGTGCGCAGTTGCATTATTACCATACCATTGCTGATCAAAATCATGCTTGAACGTGCTGACGAACTTGCCACATACGACGCGATACGACAGGAGCGTCTTCAAGCTCGACGACCTCGGATCGGAGGTGCTGCGCATTGCAGTGCCCGCGTCGCTTGCTTTGGCGGCCGATCCGCTTGCCTCCTTGGTGGACACAGCGTTCATCGGCCGTTTAGGTAATATAAACTCTGAGCTGAACATCTTCCTCCCATCTATTCTTTCAAGGTTCATCTGTATACATTGCCGTGGCTGCACCAAGGTCACTTGATCACCGCGTTCACAAATCACAATCGAGCTCATCACAACTCATTTGCTCTTGCATGTCATTCTTGCATTTCCTGTGAATGGATATCCGTTAGCTTCTTTCGTTCTGTGTAGACGCCAGCTTTACAGTTCTAGAAATATTCGCTACTTCTTTCCCTTTTGTCATTTTGGCAAAGTAACAAACTTCATTCCTGCTGAAATGTGCCTTTCAGCTTTCAGTTTTATACTACTACTACGTAGCCGGCCAATCGAATACGTACATGCTAAAAACTTCCAAGACGTCTGCGGTGATGATGTGCTCTCGAACGTTTCGTGTTTACTGATGATGCTCACCATGTCGTTTTCTGTTTCTATCAATGTTGGTGAGATCTGACTCGAATGTCTTCACCTAGAGGAGCTACAGCTATCATTTTTTTTGACGGAGGAAAACTCTGCTTTTATAAAGCACAAATAGGTACAGCATTGCTGGGATTACCAGCTTACATTGAATTGAAGAGCACAAAAAAGGCCGTGGAGAGCAACGGCAACACTACCTCCACAATAGCTAAGGAACAGAGCTTACCAAGCTCAAAACACTCTACCAAAACGATAAGAACCCAAACAAAGCAAGCAAAAAACAAAATCAAGATAACAAAAAGCGCCCGCAGCTTCCTCCAAAGCCTCGCCGATCGGATCAGTCTTGAACAGAAATCAACCTGCGATCTTTTTTCATTAGCCACTAGTGGAAAGGTCTTACACGAGCCAAAACAGTATCTCCTTCCCACCCAGGGTTATCATGAAGCAAAGTTTCCAGCGACAACAGCACATAAGGAAAAAACTCCCCCTGTACAAACTCTTATCCCCTTAGGATAGTAGCCTCTCCAGACAAGTTTGAGAGATAAGCAAGTGACAAGCCATAGCTACAGCTATCATTGTTGATTCCCTACTATTCCTGTTCCCTTCTATCTCCTTAAGCTTCATCACCAAAAAAAAAATATCGTTTTACCCATTATCACAATAGCGTCCTTGCTGAATCTTCCTCCACGTGTGTTGCCGTTTTCTTGTTACAATTGATCGGTTGCCTCGGATAGGACCTAGTCACATAGTATACGCCAAGGGCATCCTTTCTGTTTTATTCTCTTTTGATTGATGGTAAGACGGTTACCGTTTCCTTCTGGTCGAATTGTACCATAGTAGCATATTTCACTATTTGTTTTCCCATTTTTGCACTTCTAAAATTTTAGTTTATAGGACCAGCAACTTTAGTTTGCCATTGAATATTTATGCTAATTGCAGGGCATAAGTGGAAGCCATTTTCAGAAATATACTCGATAATATCAATATCAGCTCGTTATTAGTAGTCTAAAATATAATAATCCTACTGAATTAATCTGTGTGCAATTGATTGGGATGGTCAGGTTCGGTGGAGATTGCCGCTGTTGGTGTTTCAATCGCCATATTTAACCAAGTCTCGAAAGTCTGTATCTACCCTCTTGTCAGCGTGACAACATCATTTGTCGCGGAGGAAGATGCTATCATCAGTAAAGCTATCGAAGAAAAGAGCAGCCAAGACCTGGAGAAAGCTTCCCATGTGGATTCAGAAACCAACGATTTGCCTGTATCTGGTACCTACTTCTTGGAACATATATGGTTTATTTCAGAATTTGAGCCTTAACCACCTCTGCATATATCATCATTATATATATCTAATGCTAAACTCTATTTCTAGGTCCTGATATGGCAGAATGCGTGAACTCATGTATCCCCACAGAGTGTACAGATCTCTCCAACCAAGGGTGCAAGAAGAGGTACATACCTTCGGTCACGTCAGCACTAATAGTTGGTTCAATTCTCGGACTGCTTCAGGCCGTCTTCCTGGTTTTCTCAGCGAAATTTGTACTAAGCATCATGGGTGTTAAATCTGTGAGTGCTGTTATATTGATTTCTCAGATCAAGTTTGATTTTGCCCTCTTATTTTCATACATCATATAATGTTTTCATTCATTTATGTTGTGGTATTTTAGGGATCCCCAATGCAAAAACCAGCAGTTCGCTACCTAACAATAAGATCTCTTGGTGCCCCTGCTGTGCTATTGTCTCTGGCCATGCAAGGGGTCTTCCGGGGATTCAAGGACACGAAGACACCATTATATGCTACTGGTAAGAACAAAAACACTGTTGCTCACCGGCAGTGCCAATGAAACAGAGGAGCTGTTCATATATCTGACATTGCTAACTTAATAACCTTTTCTTTTCAGTGGTCGGGGACGCAGCGAACATCATACTAGACCCAATTTTGATGTTTGTTTGCCATATGGGCGTCACTGGTGCAGCTATTGCTCATGTTGTTTCTCAGTATGTTTCAGACACCAGTCACACGTGCAAGAGAAAAGCAACAGCTTCTGTATTTCTATGATAAGCTTATCCTGACTTTTGTCTCTCCTTACTGCAGGTACCTGATAACGTTGATATTGCTGTGCCGGCTCGTCCAGCAAGTTGATGTTATCCCGCCTAGCATTAAATCTCTGAAATTTGGGCGATTTCTTGGATGTGGTGAGATACCGTTGGAATCCAGAGACTGGATAACAATATCTCTAACTAACGTATCCTCAAAAAGGAGACTGAACTTTATTCCTGTTTCAGGATTCCTACTGCTCGCAAGGGTCGTTGCGGTGACGTTCTGCGTCACGCTGGCGGCGTCCCTGGCTGCTCGCCATGGACCAACCATCATGGCAGGCTTCCAAATCTGCTGTCAGCTCTGGCTGGCCACATCTCTCCTTGCCGATGGATTGGCCGTGGCAGGACAGGTCAGATTACAGCCATGTAGGCTAGGTGATGTAGTACGTTTCATAACCAGACAGCACGTTACGAACTGAATCCTGCTGTCAATGATCGATTGCAGGCAGTGCTTGCAAGTGCGTTCGCCAAGAATGACAACAAGAAGGTTGTTGATGCGACATCCCGTGTGTTGCAGGTAAACTCACAATAGGACAGCAGTGTTTATCACTTATCAGAGATCCTTGCCGATCCTTTTTCCTTCAACAGCAACTAGGTGCCGTGCCATGCTAAATTGCTAATGGCCCTCTTTCTCTTCACCTTGCAGCTGAGCATTGTCCTGGGCATGGGTCTCACTGTCGTGCTGGGACTTGCTATGAGGTTCGGGGCTGGCATTTTCACAAGCGACCTGCCCGTGATCGAAGTCATTCACAAAGGCATCCCGGTAAGAACGTGGCCTGGCTATTAAAAGAGAGCCCCCATATGTAAGCATTTAGCAAGATTCAGACACTGAAACGTAATTTTTTTTCTCGGTTCAGTTTGTCGCCGGCACACAGACTATCAATTCCCTGGCCTTCGTGTTTGATGGCATCAACTTTGGAGCATCAGACTACACATACTCTGCTTACTCCATGGTAAACTCTTTTTCACATCTTCTGATTAAAAAAAAAACTCATCATGTTTCAGCTCTGAAACTCTTCCCAACAATGAACCCAATGAAAATCTTCAGGTTGCCGTTGCGTCCGTGTCGATACCGTGCCTGGTGTACCTTTCTGCACATAACGGATTCATCGGTATATGGGTCGCATTGACGATCTACATGAGCCTGAGGACCATAGCTAGCACCTGGAGGTATGATACTATTCCCTTATCCTCCATCCTCACTCTATCAGTAGCTGCTAGCTTTGGCCATTCGAATGCAGGACTACACTCATCTATGTTATGTTGTTGCTTCTATCTGCAGGATGGGGGCAGCGAGGGGACCATGGAAGTTTCTCCGAAAGTGAGGATTGATTAGCTTCGAAGATGATATGCTGCACACTGCTGATAGATAAGGCTGCACAGGCGCCTCTCATATAGCATCAGCATAGTATAGTACGTGTTCTGCTGGTGTTGGATATCGGAGGTAGATGTAGCTATGGGCCTATCCCTTTCCTGATCGTCTGACTTGTGGCCTTGCGTGGAGAGTTTACGTTGCCCCTTCGATTCATGTTGTATCACACCAGGATGGCAGTTTAATACTGTACCATGCATCGGTACATTGTCTTTTTATAGTAATTCCATTCTTATCTCCCTTAGGCCCTCGTTTCGTTTTGGCCGGAATGGCCTGTTCTGCTGCCCAATCCGCGTGGATTGCCGCCGGCCCGTTTCGAAGCCAGGCTTGCCTCGAAATGCTGTTCGGTTTAGTCTGGCCCGGAAAGAAAACTGGCCAGGTTTGGCCATTCCGCCCCCTCCACGGCCCGCAACAAAAGCCCGACCTCCCACCCTCTGGATCGGAGTCGGAGCTTGAGGCGGCGCAAAGTAGACGCGAGAAACAGAGAGGCGAGGCGACCACGAGCACCCGCAGGCCGCAGTGGAGGCAACGGTGGGGCAGTGCGAGACGACGGCGACGGCGACATGACCAACTCCAACCCTACGTCCTTCCCCTTCCTCGTCCTTCTCGCCGGTGATCCCTCGCTCTCCCCTTAGTCCTCGTCTTCTATTCCTCCTCTAGGGTTCTTGGATCTTGGACGGCAAGCACGATGGTCTAGTTCTAGTTGATATTCACGGTGCGGGTACGCGGGATGTGGATTAGATTTTGCGCTAGTGAGTTCTCCTCTTCCTTCTCGTTTTTTTCTCCCTGGTGCTGCCTGTAGGGTTCATAGTTCTTGAAGTCAGGATACAACATCTCCGCTTGTAGCTCACGCTCGCCGTTCGCCGACGCCGAGCGCTTGCCGTTTGGGGCAAGGCCTCGCCGGTCACAACGGAACTTGGACTCAGCAACGACACCTCTCAATCTGTTGATTGACATAATGTATTATCATTCCATGTTTTGCAATTTGCATACATACAGGCATGTAACAGATCGATGTGCCACGCTAAAGGGCAGATCGATAGGCAGCGCAGCGGCCGTGCTAGGAGTATGAGTGTGTGTAGATTTGTACTTTTTTTATAGAAAAAGATATGATCATCTCCTGAGTCATTGGTTTGTTTATTTCAGATTATATTGAGATCAATCTGCTGTATCATACCATGCCTTGCACGTCTTGTGCATTGCCTTACACGAGAGCCTATAAATTGATTGATACTAGAACGCCTTCTCAGATTCTTTCAGTTCGACGAGCAGTAATTAGACCAGCAATCGTGTATGCATTCACTTAATTTGATGGCCGACATTTAGGTAACCTTTCCACATAGTTAGTAGCACGCGGTGCAGTGCAGTGAGGCTAAAATCTTGTCGATCTAGTTAAGCTCTGTAGGTTCAACTTGTTGACTTGACAGAACTTCTGTTCCCTGTGCCAATACATTTCCCTATGCTAGCAGAGAAATTTCAGTGTCAATTGGGTGGCTATAAGAACTGTTCCTGCATGCAATAGTGTCCTTGTCTCAGGTTTTCAATGATCTCACTAGAATTACTCAGATATAATGGTGGGTTTAGTTACTGAAGCTGTATTCATGTGTTATTATCTAGATGATGTCTTGATTTGCCAAATGGTTTCTTGTTACTTGTAGATCTCCCCAGCACCAAATGCGTTATTATTTATATGTTAATCAATATATTCTTGACTTGTCTAGTAGTCTTTGATCAAATATTGTAATAGTGATGATGACTAAGCCACTATATGCTTGGGGTTATGGTTAATGAACTACTACTAATTACTTGGTGTAAGTGTAACTCTCTTGTTAATAATAGTGATAAAATATTATTAATATATAGATAATCTACAGTTTAATTGCTCTACCTATGTGCTTTGCATTAATCTTAATGTTCAACTCTGTCCTAGCGGTGTTTCTCTTTATTTTTGATAGCTTTATTTTGGGCAAGATTTATCTTTTCATGTGCCTCTGAATTATGCTGTGCTACTGTGCTATATATAAATACTGCTCTGTGTGTTGTCTTGCTGTGAGTGTCAGATTTTAATAGCTGCTAGTACATTTTTCTAATGCCCTAGGCAAGTGGTGCACAACTGCACAAGTATATATAGTATCTACTATTCACCAGCAGAAAGTTTTTTCTTGAGAACATGATTGTACTAGAAGACCACTTTCTAGTTGTCATCACTAGATCGAGAAGCAACTTTGGTTTGGCTCAAAAATACGATGGTTTAACAGGTCAGTCTACTTAATTGCTAAAAACTTGATGTTTTTCTTCTATTTGACTACAAGAGTCATTTAGTCACTGCAAAACTTTGAGTTTTCTAGGCCTGATCAGTCACATAACCTTAGGTATATCGGTTAGCATATATTTGTTGATATAGACACAAGTTTGTCACTAGTACATTTTTGGTAGTGGTACTGCAAGTGCCAATGCCCTATGGGACGTGATGTGTGTTCTGGACTTTCGCTGCTCTAAAAATGTTTGATACAATGCTACCGCAGTGAGATGTGCATGCTTAATTTCAAGTTCATGCCAAATGGATGCAATGTTTGTGCTGCTGCTGTACTGTTCAGTTCAGACGTTCAGGTCTCTCTGCTTGTTGTTTGGAAGATAGGTCTATTACTTACGGTAGGCAAGTTTAATAGTGGTGAATTCTATGTATGCTTGTCAGATGCATGATGTGCCGACCACCATATGAAAGTTCACTTCATGGTTCATGTTGATAGTTGAGTATATCAGACTTTGCATGCTCGTTCATTCACATTGGAAGCCTAATTTTATGTATGGGTACTTTTCTTAGAGGTCTGTGCTTTGACTTGCTCTTTTTTTTTTGTGAAGATGTTGCATGCGGGTCACACGTGTTGAACTGCTGGTTGCCATGTTCTTAGGAGTGGGCCACGCACCATTGTGAGATGAGAAACTATTTGTTAATAGTAATGTCAGTTATCAGGCATGGAATTGCAAGTGATAGTTCAAACATTTTTACTGGTGAGAGTAACCATAGAGTATGTGGCGACTAGCGTGTCATAATTTGGTCTTTTAGGAGTTCTTCTGGACTTTAATGGATCTGCTAGTGAAGTTACAATTTCATGTCTAGGTAGTGACTAGTGAGCTTGGTGCTTTTAAACTGACATATTGATTTAATTATGCTTTGGTTGACTACACTGTGAGTCATTTTCATTCAATTATTCAGTAATTTGTAAAAAAACTTGCTGTCATTTTTAGGGAGGAGACAATGATCAAGAAACATTGGATTGGATAAAGTGCCTGGACACTTGAGTAGGCTTAGACTAGTTATCTACTGGTTTAAATTATGCTTCGGATTTGTGCACTTTGTGATGGTTTGTGTTATCTACATGTAATTTGAATTGTTTCAAGCTTGTTATATTCTGTTCTGGCAGTTAAGTGCCTGGATATGTATACATACCGTCAGCAGCCCTGGATATTCTAAGGTTTGCTTTGCATGGTGATTTGAATTTTTTTTGACAAATCTATGTTATTCTCGTGTAAATTTCCTGTGCCATGTAATCTTTGCAACTGTGAAATCGTGAGGCTTTGTTTCCTATTTTCATGTGAAGCAGCAAACTTGTTATGTGAAAGCAAGTACACTAGCAGCAAGCAAACAAGCACTTGCAAGTAGCAGTTTTCCTATTTTCCTTCTATATGTGTTTCTGTCTAGCCGAACATGATTTTATAATTAGATCAGAAACGAATAAGGACAGGTTTTGAATCAGACCAGGAATAAGTGGAGGAAGAGGATCCACTTGATCCTGGTCAGGAACTGTTCCATGACAGGAACTGTTCCACAGAAAACGAACGAGGTCTTATTTTTATCTTTCTGCAAGCTGTTTTTTTCCTTGTTTGAGACACGGCAAAAACTGTTTTATTGCGTGGAAGAAGCAAACAACAGTGCTAAAAGAGATGTGGAGTACAGGAGTCCTTCTGAGTGCAAGTTCAGGGTGCTTTAATTTGTTATCGTTAACCAGACAATTCGATAACAATCCATTCTTTAAACCAACGGGAGGCTAAAACTCCCATCAGTTAGGAGTGGAATCTCAATCCTATACTGCTAACACAATCACAAGTTCAGAAATTTCAAGTCCTACTGCCTGATGAAGTCCGACAGACATATGGCCAACTTTTTATGCATATGGCCAACTTTTTATGCTCTCAACCTATAATCAAGAACATGGAAAATGCTCAAACAACATGAAATCGTAGTCTTTTAGACAGCCTATAACTGATACATCTTGCAAAAAATAAATAAATAAAAGGCTATAACAGACATTATAGCATCAGATAAACGAACATCATAAACAAAAGAACTCGATTGTAACGTTCTCCGAGAATTTGTATATCACTTTAGCAAGATAATAAACTCAAGTTCTAATGTATCAAAGCTACAAATATACATCAGCACTGTCTCTCAATATTTATGTCAAAATTGGCAGTTGGAACAGCATGAGTACCAGTTACATGTAAATATTTTCAGGCCACAAAACCATGGTGATTTGCGCAATGATCAAGGCCGCAACTAAACCTCTAGGTTGGCCTAATTTTGCAACCTGACAGCGAACAAAAGAGACATCAGGCTCCAGATGTGAATGGCCTACCTCTTATGCTATCCTTATTGTCCAACTATCTGCAATGCGAACATAGGGCCTCCGGATTGTTGGCGCAACTGGGCTGGAACCACTCCTTAAACTAATTGGCCCTGATTCAATTTCTACTTCTTGGTTTCCAGGCTCAATAATAGCCTTCTTCGCTACGGATCGTAAGCCGAGGACTATAATTCTTTCAATCACGCAATCACTTGTAAATTTCTTGCCCAAATTGTCAGGTGCAATATTGAACGAAGTTAGCTTATTGTCTGCAAAGACAAATCGGCGATGGATGAATGCCCCTTGCTGGTAATCATAACTTTTCCCG